AAGCGCGTCCCCGGGCGCCGTGGATCCGCGGCGGCACATTGCCCTGCGGTGCTGCTGCGCCGCGCAGAGAGGTGGGCAGCTCCGCCCCAAACCCAGGTCCGCACCTTTGTAACAGAGGCAAACCTATACGCAGCAGAGGCTAGACGCCTTGCGTCAGAGAGGCGCACATTGCCGGTGTCGAGGCCCACGTGGCCACCGCCACAACCAACAACGTGCCAGTCCGGACCAAGGGCCCCATTGACACGCGCATGTCATCAGCAGCCCGCCGCCGCAGTCCGCACCCAAACGCTCCCTTCTCTCTCACCCTTCGTCCACCCAGGCTCTGTCTCGACCTCCTTTCCGCGACGTTGCGAGCAGTCGACCTTGGCGAGCCGCGCCGTCCCTTCTGCCCTCTCGTTAAGCCATGGACTGCTTCACGTTGGCCAGCCGTGGACTCCTGATAAGCGCATGCAAAGGCGGAACGCAGGATAAAAACCGCCCACCCCAACCCCACCCCAACCCCACCCCCCCACGCCCCCACGCCCCCAACACCCATTGTCAAGAGCGAACTTCGCTGGACAAAGAGCGCAGGGGACCCTGTGCGCCGGTTCTGTCCGAGCGTCCCGAAGGAAATTAGCAGGGGCATCCATTCGCATTGGGATGTCGGCCGTTCACGAGGTGTCATTTCACCCCAGACGGTGTACCAAAATGGATGTGCGAGTGACCTCAGCAGCATTTTGGCATGCCCTTGAAGGATGGGAGCTGTGCGCTGATTCTATCATGATTGCAAAAACTACCAGTTGGAGAATTCTTCTCAAGTTTAGCTCAGTGAACCGATGAATGAGCGTGAAGTCGTTGGAATCGGATCCTGATTGTCGATTGTCTGCGCCAGGGTGTTATCAGACCATATCCGTTGTGCAGAATCCCTGCCAGAGCATAGTGGATCGAACCTTCCCCCTGTACACCTTATTGATAAACCTCCATGCACCAAGGGGTGAGGGCCATCTGATTCTGTTACAGCATAACGTACAAGCACGCACCACGATCCGAACTCTATTGCAAGCAAACGTTTCTGTTGGGGGATGAACTTTGCAACAAACTTGCTGCACGTGCCACAGCAGGAGGCTGCCCTGAACATAACAGTCATGCCGGCTGTGCCGGAAGTAGCCTCGTTGCTCAGCACAGTATGACTGTAGGGACCTGTGGAATTTGTGCAACTTCTGCACAAAATGCATCATCGATTACTGATGCAGTTGGTCTGCACCGTCCCCAGGAAAACTGTCAGACCACAACGCCCATGGCCCAAGCAATACCGATGCACTCCTTTGCCATCAAACACACAGCCGAGGCCAGCTGCAGACCAGCCCTTCCCATCAGCTTTCGCACTGCTGCGGCGATTGGCTTTGGTGTCACTGCACTGATGATATGGACATTGTGCCGGAAAGTACTGTCTATTGCCCGCTCTTGTTGGAGCAGAGTGCAAAAGCAAAATCAGTGTGCATGGGACGCTAGGTTTCTTGATCAGCAACACAACTGGCATGATTTGCGCATTTTTTGCGAGCCGATCGGTGATGGGGCCACAGGCATTGTGTACAAAGGTCGACTCCTTTGTGCAGGGGGCCTGGGCAGGTGCGTCGCCACCAAAATTTCATGGGCGACCAACAGTGCAAGGGGGTCACTGAAGAAAGAGTACGACATACTGTTGGCCGCCCAGGGGCACCGCAATGTGCCAGAGTGCTATGGATTTGGGGAGCTGTCGGGCGGTCGAACATTCATGGTTATGGAGCTGATGGAGATGTCTTTGAAGCAGTTCCTTGCAGATCGCTGGAGCGACCATGAACGATTGTCATTTGGTGAATGCATCGAGATCTTTCGTGAGATCGCCCGGGCGCTCCAGCACTTGCAGAACAAACGCATCATTCACTATGACCTCAAGCCGTCCAACGTGCTTGTGGCTGTTCGTCAGAGCATGCGCATCGTCAAAGTCAGCGACTTTGGCTGCTCTGAGAACCGTCCCCTCACAGAGATAACTGGAGAGTACAGGGGTACACCTGGGTACATAGCCCCAGAACTGATGCCAGCACACTACTCGCACAAGAAGGTGAATGGGAAGAAGGTGGATGTGTACTCCTTTGGATGTCTCATGGGGCACTGCATGTCAGGCAGTGATAACCATGACATGGGTTTTAGCCAGAATGTGCAGTGCCCACATGATTTGAGATCATTGATTGGCAGGTGCTCAAACAACGATCCTGAGGTGAGACCATCGTGGGAGGAGGTGCTTGAAGATCTAGATAATTTTGTGGACTCTGCCAAGGAATGGTTGACTTGGAAGATCTCCCAGTGATGAAGAAGCACTATTGTGTTGAATGGAGGGCCCCGTGACAAACACAAGGGAACATTTGTGAAAGTGGGTGGTCCTGTGAAAAGCGCTTCTGGATTTTGTTGCAAGCCAGACAACTGAGGATGCTACTCTCGGAAGTTGATTGGACATCATCTTCAGGGCAAGGTACTCACTCGAAGTGGTCACATTCCTTAATCCAATTTCTTGTATTGCAAATGCCTAACAATGGCCAAGCACCTGACAGGGAATGACAAGCTTGGGGGCCAAGCACAGTTTTTGTTTGGAAACGTTTGTCCACGTCCATGCAATCGTGGAGCCTGGCACTGTCACATGGAGTCGTTTATGGTGGTGTGGGACAAGCAGGAGGCATTCCCCTGGTGCGGAGACAGTCTTGCTCTGATTCAAGTGTTGTGAGTGCAGTGAATTGGCCCAGACGTTGACAGCTGTGCTTTGAGGTATGGTGCGATAGCAGTTTGGGGATATCAGCTCGCTGGCAAGGGTGTTGGGTTCTTGAGCTGCTGAGTTTGTCTTGGTGTTTGGGGAGCTGATCGAGTTTTGGGTGGGGCTGCCTGGGGAATGACGATGTTCTGGGCATGTGAACAGAATTTGGGTTGTCTCCAGGGTGTATGTCGTGTGAGAATCTGTGACACTTGTGTACTCCTACGATGGGTTTGAGGTTTCCTTTTGCTGGGAACGGTGCTGTCCTTTTCAACCGATGGGCTGGTGACGTTGTTTGATGATCTTAGTTTTAGGTGAGACACATGCTGTGCAAAGATCATCATTTTCATGTCGCTGTAAAGGACTCACTCATTCAATCAAGCAGTCCTGCCTTATCAAGGATCTTCTGTTTCCAGTTTAGACCCTGGCTAGGGACACAGCAGGTTCCAGGCGCCTCTGTCTGCCAGCCCATGTGTATTGTTTGGAAAATCACAAAAAAAAATACTCTGGCGTAGCACTTTCGCTTGCCCATCTGTTGGCCATTTACTGGTAGAGGTGGTTTCCTGCTTTCCAGATGTCTGCTCACGTGGCAAAATAGAAAGATTGCCAATTTGTCACCCTAGCGCCCAACATAAACAAGCAAAGGAGACTGGTGGACAACCTCAAAGCAACAGGAACAGGGCGGGAAAGGGCGAGAGTGGACACAACAATGCCATGCGGATACTGAGCACGACAGTTTATAGCTGTCCCTTCTCTAGATGGGCAATTCTGGATCACAGAGGTGTTCAAGACACAAAGGTCACAGCAAGCAACGTGGCAGCGGAGTGTGGCACAACACTCCATTTGGAAATTCCACATCAACCGTGCGCGCAAGTGCATATGACCGTGAAGGGGCGCATGCGCACAACTGTCTCAGCCCAAAAGAACTGACACATCTGCAGGAATGGGGAGCCAGCTCACTTGCACAAACGGAAGCATCTGGGAATGAGTTTCGCACCCAAGGATCACAAGGCGTGCAGAAGGCAGTTGCCTGGAGGTGGACTGGCAGCAGGCTTGGTTTTCGCATTCAAAGCTGCCCCACGCAACTTACGCCCGCAGACCGCCCAATTACGCTCACCAATGCGTTCGGAATGGCGCCCACACAATCTACCCGGTGCTCTGTGCAACTTCTCAAGCGGGTTTGCTGGGAAGCGATTCCACAGCCATGTGCCAGCGCCAGACAAGCTGTTGGCGTTCTCTCCGTGCACGGACCAGCCGGGCTGGTGACCGCCGCCACTTGGCCGCTTCTGGGGAGCGAGCGGACTATCCGCGGTTGCCAATTTGTTTCAGGCGCAGTCCGAAAATGTCCTCCTATTTCAGGCGGAGTCCCCAGACGAGACCTTCGTTCTTCCATGCTTTCTTTCAACTGCTCAGCAGAGGGCCGATCACACTGACACATGCCCTGAAAATGATGCCTCCCGCACACCAGTCACCAGAGCGCTGCCTTTCTTACCAACCTCCTCGCCTACCGGTGGGGGATCCACGCTCAGACTAGGCCGCCCGCGTTCCCCTCGCGGAGTCCCTTCCGGTGAATGTTTCCGCCGCGTCAACAGGGCTCGAGGCCTCCCCGTGCCCTCCCACTTGCTGCTGGCAAGCCGCCCCTGTGCCCCAGGTCGATCAGCTCCATTTTGTTCCATCCCACTAATGATCACGGCCACCAAAGTCTGGTTTTCAGCCAGACGCGTTGTTTTTTGGGCCTCTCAAGCGGGGTTACGTAAATGGGCACCACGCCACGGCCACCGGCGCTTTCGTTGTTCACTGCCAACGCGTGTCCCGGACACTCTTCGCGCACGCAACCGACAGCAAGAGTGACGGTCCTCACGAGTGGGCCTCAGGAGGGGCCCCTCGCATGTAAGGCAGCAACCCGCTCAGCATGGCTGGGAAGTCGCTGGTGCCTGGGAGTGGACGTGTAGGCGGCAGATTTCCCGCGAGGGCACAACGGCAGGCGACTGGACGAGCCGATGACAGCCAGGCCGCTTGCCTCGCTTCCCGGCCTCTCCCCAGCGACGCGCGATCCCGATGAGCCTTACCAGGAAATTCGGAAACCGCCGTCGTCCCTTCCCTTGTTTGTTCTTGTGTGACTATGGTCGGTTTCATTGTGGGGAGTATTTGTGGGCTCTTCGGGCCCATCGGCCTATTGTACGCATGTGCGTGGTCCCCAAAGGCACATTCCCAGCCACTCCCCCTCTGCAGTGCAAGGCTCTCAAGCCGGCGTTTTCCCACATCTCCTTTCTTCCTGCTTGACGATCGATGTTTTCATCGTGGGTTACTTGGAGTCCTTGAGCGCATCTTCAGTGGAGATTCTCCAGAGGTACATACGCGTTGTCACCACACGTACTCAACTTGCAGGCGGGGGTCACTCATTAGGGCCAAACATCGCCCCATCTGGCCGTGCGGCCCACCTCGGAGCCGCGGTGAAATTGATGTCTGTCGGTGGACGTCGAGCAGCGCCTAATCTCAAAGCGCGGCCTCCTGGAACTCGCGAGGAGGAAGAGGCTTGGAGGCGTTGGAGCCGCCTGGAGTATTGCCAGCGCTGGTTTGAGGCACCTCGTGAGCGCTGACCCAGGGTCTCTGTCGGGCTGAGGAGAGAAGCGGAGGGAATGCTGCCACGATGCTCTGCGAGGTTCCTCTTGGAGTAAAACCAACCCATTTTCTTGATTTATGCTCATCTTCTCACATTAGCGTCACTGCGGGCTGCAATCCTAGGCGTTGATAAGCACCCAGTGCCCGGCATAATTCCTTGAAGGACCGTGCATCATGTAGTTGTGGATTCCAGCGGCATTGGCCCGCAGGTTTCTCCCTGTGCAGGAAAGGCCTTGATATTCAACACAACTGCAGTGTCCAGACCACCCTCCCCCGGGGGATCATTGCCCTGTGTGCATTGCATGGAACTTCCAGTTTGAAAGGACAAGCATCCAGCAGACACGTGTGGACAGAATGCTACCATGAGCCTGAGTGTAACTGTTTGTCGATGCTAAATCCAGTTCTACAAACGCGTGGAGCGAATCCTCAATTCTCTCAATGCGTTGTTGGTGCAGGCAGCAGGACCCCAACCCGGCATATCACAATCATCAACCAAAAGCCTCACGCGCTTCATTGGCGAGGTGACCAACTGGGCCCTTCGTCGTACTACACTGACCACTGCATTAGCTACCACTTCATATGGGACGCAGCCATAACAAATTGTGTCGCTCGGGCGTATTGCTCGCGACGAATGCTGAGTACCGTGCGCGGACAATCATGTAAGCACATCGTTTGGCTCAACCGTGCAGAATATGCGGCGCAGCCGCCAGGCGCTGGGCAGCCCAAGAAAGGCAGTGCCGTGTCCGCCCTCGAGTGGTCGACACCTTTCGCGAGGACCGTCCGTGCCAGGGACGACAGTGCAACAAAAGAATTCCGCAACAGGCCGGCGTGCCACAGTGCAGCCAGGATTCTCCGGGGACAACCAACGCGTCGAGCGCAGCCGCCGTCTACAGACTGAAGGGCAGTGGCCCCTGTCGTCAACGCAATGCCGTGGAACTCTGAGGTGCGCAGAAGAAGACGCACACCCAACGGCACCACTGCATGAAAATGAGAAGTTCAGCGGGCTGTGTCCGCTGTTCTCTTCGACCGTTGTGCGCATCTGAATGTAGGATCCACGCCCACCGATTCTCTGAAGAGTGGTTCCCGTCGAGCCCGAAAGGCGAACGTGATTGGCAGCGCGATGTTTTCCAGGACGAACCTTGCGGATGGGCAAGGCTGATATGGTTGGCCGCTCAGTGACCCGTGGGTCGGGGGCGCTTTGAAACAGCCTGCGAGGGCTTTGCCCCACTTCGGAGGGTCGGCGCTGTTGTAAACCCAGTAGTGCCGCGGAGATCTGGTCGAGCCAGGAAAGGCGCGATCTGTGTGGGGTGGACGATTGGCGTCGTTGTGTCTGTGATGGGACACTCAGCGCCAAGCCTAGTGTACCGCCCTGCGCTGGCGCGAACTTGCCGCCGTGTCCTCAACCCCATTGGTTTGATGCCTTTCCCGGTGACAAGTATCCCGAATCCCATAGTTCAGGAATTGGGCGTTCTCGCACACTCATGCATGTATGTACGCGTGCAGCCATTTACGTTCGCACCTTCTGTCAGGCGGGCCACCACAACAGAAACTTGAAGGTGCCGTTCTTTGGCAGCGGATCTTGCGGCGCCCCCGCTGAACTGTTCCTCCTAAATCGATCATGCGATGACAAATGCACGCAGTGTCACCGCTAGCGCAGACCAAACATTAAGCTGATCCGTCCTTAACAGTGATAACCGTCGACAGCGCCGTGTTCAGGGTCCACCACGAATTCTGGCAGATCGGTGGCAATCAGTGTTGGACAGTTTTACGCCTCAGCTGAAGGATGGGTGGCAGCGTCCATGTGGGTGCCCTGGATGCTTGAGTATCGTCAACACCTATGTATGAACGCCTTTTCGTCGAAAGTTGTTTCAGGGGCAGCGCCGTATTGACCAAAAAGATTGGAGCACAACGGGCACGTCAGCCATGTGATTGCAAGAATATCC